TGACACCATAAACTTTTTAAACTGCTGACAGACAATAGGCATATTTTTTTCCCAAAAATGTTATTAACAAAAGTTGATTAAAACCATGTATAAATATCATAGGTTAGAATAAAATTCATCCCTCTATAAAAGTCCCTGATTTTATGGAGCACCCTTAAATTACATATGGCATATTACACTGTATTCATTTGTATTGTATATGGGTTTCTCTAACAGCCTGAACAGATTTCATGGGACAGACCCACTCCTTCAGGAGGTTTTTCAATGTCTGATAATCACAAGATAATATATACAACATATTATATCTGATATACAATCCTTCTACTCACTGAAATCAGGCCTTTCCTCACCAAAAATCCCCTAATGGGGGGGAGGGGGGCGCATATCAAAAAGACCCCTGGAGGGCAAGAGCAGGGACACTGCACAGGAGTGGCTGGGAGAGGAAAAATATAGTAAGAAGAAAGTATCCTTATCAATGACCAAATAAGGTCCGAATTAAGTAGATATATAAAAACTAAAAATTCAAAACCTAGTCAGTAAATAAATTGGTGTTAGTACAAATGGACACCACAGTTATCAAGTATCAGAAGGGAGGGATGTTCCCTCCAACCCACATATTACCCAAGAAAAAGAAAGGGCGGATGCACAATGTTGCCTGGAATTAGCTATCAAGAACAAACAGATTCCAATAGTCTATGGACAGGAAAGGATTAGGAGAAAAGAAGCAGAAGAAAGTGAGAAAAAAAAAATAAAAAATATTATAAAAATAGGATAAAATTCGCCTAGAATGTTTGTCTCCATATTGCATGGGGATTTAAATCTTACCTTGGGTGGCATTCAGGAAAATCCCAAATCAATTCATCATAAGGTCAAAAATAGCTGTAATCATCCACCCATATGGTCAATTGGTTAAAAAAGTGCTGTGGGGAAATAATTGGATTGAAGGCCAATATTACAGCAAAAGCTGTTTCTGTAATTTTTATCTTTAATGGCATATTCATTTTTATCTTTTTATTTTTGGCTGGAGCTTGGCTCCATGGACTGTGGAATAAGGACTGAATTAAAAAAATATTTATACAAAACACATTTCTAAAGCTCACTATAGTATCCTATAGCAAACTCACAGCTGTTCTAGGGATTTTTTTCTTTGCATTAACATTCTGGAAAAAAAAAAAGGTTAAAGTGGAATTTAGCAGTTCTAAATCCAAATATATAATTATTGTGTTCTTTCCTAGCCTGTAAGATTGTGGATTTAGTATTGTGCATCTATTGTGAAAGATTTGGTATTAAGCAGATGTTGCTCTATGCATGCTGCCTCAAATCTAAATGCACAAATAGATGAGTAGAGAGACAGTTTTGATACTGGCTATATCCTTTTACTTGAACAATATTAAAATGAAAAACAGATATGAAAAATGATAACAAAATAGTTAAACTAGGAACACACAAGTTATGAGTAAAGAAGCAGTATAACAGGACAAAACTTCCAATATTCATATAGCAGAATAACTGGTAATAAAATGTCTGGATTAATAGCAGCTCTGACAGGATAATTAGAACATCAACTTGACAAATAAAGAACATGCCCTGCTTGCAGTGAGCAGGTGAATTCAATACAGGACTACAGAATTTCTCAGACAAAACAAATAAATGGAATGATGCTGAACATGCTAGCCATAAATATTTAGGACATTCACTGCTGACAACTGAAAGTTATGAGTAGGGTTTTTTTTTTTAGCATTAATGAATTTGGAAAGCTCTTCATTTTAAAGTGCAAGATGACAAACTTGATCAAAAGAAAATACAATATCATTTTTTTCATATTGAGTGCATGCATGCTTTTCAGGCATTATCCAGGGTCAATATCTACTTAAAGGACTAGGGTCCTGGCCCAAAACCAACCACACAATGTAAAGCCTGCTCCCTTTGCGATTTTTTTCTATATTCACAAACCTCTGACACAGCCCTATGCTGCAGCCTCTTACCATGTTACTTGCTACAAAGTTACAATGTTGCAGTCTGATAAATGAAGGGGAGAAGAGCAAAGCAATGTGTTGTCTTGACTGCAACAAACAGGTGACATCAACTCAGCCTAGGCCAGGGGTGGGCAACTGTGGCCCTCCAGCTGTTGTAGAACTACCAGTCCCATGAGGCATTGCAAAACTGACAGTTTCAAGCATGACTCACAAAGGCAGAGGCATGATGGGCCTCGTAGTTCACTAACAGCTGGAGGGCCACAGTTGCCCACCCAAGGCCTAGGACCTTTTTTTTCTTTAGAAATGATGTTGATAGTGTATTTTTGTGACAGACTTGATAAACTTCTCATTTATTTAAAAATTATCCACATGCACACATAGGTATACTGGAAATAGACAGAAACTTCCATAAAATCATGAAAATATGGCAAGCTGGTAGCTTCAGTGCATGGAACGCCAGGAACAGCCAGCATACACACGTGCCAGCCACGCCCAACATGTTTCGTCGAAACCGACGTCTTCGAGGGAAGAGTACAAAGTCTGGTGCAGCAGTGCATGGTAGCCAATCAGCTTCTATTTTCAGCTTGTTCAATTAGGATTTGCTCCCCTCCCCTCCTGGCCTGCTGGGTTGCATGCTCAGATAAAGGTTTGGTATGGATTTTGGAGAAGACCCCATGCTATTTTTAAAACAAATTGGTGTGGGTTTCCCCTTAAAATCCACAGCAGACCCTAAGGGTCTGGTAGGTATTGGGGGGGGACTCCCATGTTGTTTTTTTTTTTAAATGCTGGAAATTATTTTGCTTACATTCTGCTGTCACGGGGGAACCCTGCTGACAACAGATGTCATGGATGTTAAGCACACAGCGGCTGCCCGTTCCTTAACAACCGTGATATTTACTGGTTGTTAATGCAGAACTACACTGCATCTAAGCACCACAAACTAAAAACCCTGTTTATTTAATTTTTAATATGAAAAGCAAATCCGCCCATCCATCCATGTCTCCATGCATTATTTTGCTAGGAAATAACACCCACAAGCATTTCTGGCTGTGGCCATCTTGAGTAAGGGCAGGTGATTCATATAGTATTTACTTTCTGGAATCTATCTGTCCTTAGCTTAGGCATGCAGACAGGTGGGTGTGCTCAGCTGAGAAAATTCCTCCTCCCCTCCAGAAGACTCCTGGGATGTATGATTAATTGCCTAGGTATGCAAACCAGGAAGTAACCGAAGAAATAAAATAAAAAGTTTTAAAACAAGTAAATACAATATACTTTCCTATCTATTTAGTAATGCTATCAGCATAAGGATTAAAAATAGTCATTGTAGACTGAGAGAGTGAAGTAGCGCTTCAACTACTTAAGAGCCACCCCAGAGCAGATATACTGCTACAGGGTGGCTCCGCTGCGCAAAACCATGTTTATATACATGATTTTGCATTTCCAAGTAGGAGGTACATGCGCACGCCCTACCTGCGCCGCTATTGGCTGCTGGATATGTCAATCACCAGGTCCCAGCCCGCTACCCCCCCCCGGGACTCCGTGATCATTGGCAGGACTGAGAGGGAAGAGATTTGTGTGTAAACAACACAGGTCTCTCTCCCATCAGCATGAACATTCTGCTTTGTATCTCTCTGCACAGCAGAGAGAGGTATGAAGCAGCATGTCTCCCAAGTAAAACATAGCACACATAGTAAAACACACACAGCACACTATTAATCCTTTGATCACCCCAGATGTTAACCCCTTCCTGACCAGTGCCATTAGTAGAGTGTCAGTGCTGTTTATTAGCACTGATCACTGTATTAGTGTCACTGGAGATGTCAGTGGCAGTTACTCAGTTCCCACCCAGTGTCAGAATGCCCACCGCAATCCCGCTATAAGTCGCTGATCACTGCCATTACTAGTATAAAAAAAAAAAAATTCCAGTATATATACCGCCATTTGTGGACGCTATAACTTTCACGTAAAACTATTACTATACACTACATTTATTTTTTAGCAAAGACATGAAGCAGAATACATTTTGGCCTAAATGTATAAATAATTTTTATTTTTTTAATTCTTGTATTGGATATGATATATAGCAAAAAGTCAAAAATATAGTTTTTTTTTTTTTTTTTCAAAATTGTCAGTCTTTTTTTTGTTTATAGCGCAAAAAATAAAAAATGCAGAAGTGATCAAATACCACCAAAAGAAAGCTCTATTTGTGGAAAAAAAAGGACATACATTTGTAATGTACAGCGCTGAGCGAACTATTGGTGCTTTATAAATACTGTATAATAATAATATAATAATAATAAATTTAATTTGGGTGTGGCATTGCATGACCGTGCAATTATCAGGTAAAGTAACGCAAAAATGGCCTGCTCAGGAAGGGGGGTAAATCTTCTGGAGGGCAAGTGATTAAGGATGCTGGTAGCTGCCCACTCCTTAAAAAAAAACAGCTATTTACTGGTTGTTAAGGATGGGCGCTGGCTCCTTGGCAACCAGCTGAAATAAAATACATTCCTTAACTATCGCATGCCTGAAACACCTATTTACCACATTTATTTATTTATTTATTTTCTTTAATGAATTGACTATAATGACATTCTATGCTGTATTTACCAAGCATTTTTGCTTTTTGAGGTAAATACCACATAAGGGGATAGTGAATCCACATTTTTTTCAGCATCGCATGCGGTATTTGGAAAAAATGTGTCAGATCACCTAAATACCGCATGTGATCTGCTTTAGTGAATTGAGTCCATTATGCCTTTAATATGTCTATTACTCTACTCAGTGGTTGTAAAGGCAGAAGGTTTTTTACCTTAATACATTTTCCGCATTAAAGTGATTATAAACCCTCACATTGTAAAACAATCCATTCAGTTTATAATAGAAATGAAAGGTAAAACATTTGTGTATAGGTACGAATAAACAGTATGAATACACTATCCTGCCAAAAGTATTGGGACACCCCTTCAAATCATTTGATTCAGGTGTTCCAATCATCCATGGCCATAGGTGTAAAAATCAAGCACATAGGCATGCAGACTGATTCTACAAGCATTTTTGAAAGAATGGGTCGCTCTCAGGAGCTCAGTGAATTCAAGCGTAGTACCGTGATAGGTTGCCACTTGTGCAATAAGTCCATGTGTGAAATTTCCTTGCTTCTAAACATTCCACGATCAACAGTTAGTTGTATCATAACAAAGTGGAAGCAACTGGGAACAACAGCAACTCAGCCACGAAGTAGTAAGCCACGTAAAATGACAGCGGGGTCAGCGCAAACTGAAGCGCACAGTCTGCAGAAGTCGCCAACTGCCTGCAAAGTCAATAGCTAAAGACCTCCAAAGTTCGTGTGGCCTTCAGATTAGCACAACACTGCGTAGAGAGCTTCATATAATGGGTTTTCATGGCCACATGGCCAAGCAGCTGCATCCCAGCCTTACATCACAGTGCAATGCAAAGCATCGGATACAGTGGTGTAAAGCTCTGGACTCTAGAGCAGTGGAGATGTTCTCTGGAGTGACGAATCACGCTTCTCTGTCTGGCAATCTAGAACACCTTTGGATAAATTAGAGCAGAGACTGTGAGCCAGGCCTTCTCGCCTGACATCAGTGCCTGACCTCTTAAATGTGCTTCTGGAAGAATGGTCAAACATTCCCATAGACACACTCCTAAACCTTGTGGACAGCCTTCAGATTTTTTTTCAACATATAAAAAATTCATTTCAACATATATTCTTACATATATTTGTAAATGCATTCCAAAAATGTAGATTTGTATTTTTAAAGACATACAGTATATTTGAAATGTACTTTTTAAAAATATTTTTAATATATTTTGTAATAAAAACACATTTCAACATGCAGTATATATATATATATATATATATATATATACTGTATATATATATATTTTGAAATATATTGAATATGGCAAAAATTGTAGCATTTCAAATATATGTCAATATATTTGGGAAGAATATTTTTAAAATATATTTTTCTTCCATATGGGGGACTACAGAAGAGGAGGTTAGGGGTTGCTCTATTCAGAACTTTAACTATTTACATAAAAAAAAAATGATTCCAGGCTAGCCTATCTTTCGAAAAAGTAAACTCTCCCCTTAAATAGATTTGAACATCTTATTCTTTTATTAACTAAAAAAAAATACTATTAACAAATTGGATTACTTTGAATCCCAACAGGTTTTCAGATTTATCTAAAAAAAACTAATTAATTTATGGTATTTGATTAAAAACGGACGCTGTTACACAACAAAATCCCTTTATGAAAAAGTTCTCTGTCACCTGGACTCCATACATGCTTCATATCTTGACATTCCCCAACTTAGAGAACTTATTTTATTGTTTTGACACTCTCAAATGTGTAATTCAGAGAAATTGAAGGGCCCTTTGGCCCCTTTATACTTTTTTCTGATTACAGCTCAATATGTATATTGAAGGGGATATAGTAATATGAATACTTTTCCATGTTTGGAACGTATTCTGATATGTACAGTATTTGTCTTTTTTGCTCTAACCATTCTTTTTTGGAGTTGTTGTGGCCGACTCGGTGGTTATTTGCTTGGAGTGAAAGGATGAATATCATCAGTGTATATAATTTTAAGCTCTGTGTAATATACCTATTATAATATATTTGCTTTATTTTGTATTGAAAAAATGCATGTTCCCCCCCCCTTAATGCACACCAGACCCTTATCTAAGCATGCAGCCTAGGACCCTCAGGCAAAGCACCTTGTCCCCAAGAAAAACTTCTTCCCCACAACCCTGGCCTTGTGGTTGTGGGGGTCTGTAGGTGGGGGGCTAATCAGAATCTGGAAGCACCATTCAAAATATGGGGGCTCCTAGATACTGCTCCCACCCTGTGAATGAGTACATACCAGGGGCGGACTGACAACTCATGGGGCCCCCGGCAATAGGGGATCATGGGGCCCCTGTGTCCTTGCCCACACTCAAAGCACACCCAAAAAAGCCTATAAAAGGTACCAGGAGCATTTCATGGGGCCCCCTACTCCCTCAAGAGGTGTTTCCAGCCAGCTCAGTAGAGTGTTTTAAAAAAGGCCTGGATTATTTCCTAAATGTACATATTATAACTGGATACTAATATTTATAGGAAAAGTTGATCCAGGGAATATCCAATTGTCTCTTTGGGGATCGGGAAGTTCATTTTTCCCCTGCTGGAGCAAATTATACCATTGTTTATTGGGGTTTTTTGCCTTCTTCTGAATCAACTGTGGTCATAGGATTCTGTATATAGCATTGTATATTTTCCCCCTTTTATTAGTTGAACCAGATGAACTTGTGTCTTTTTTCAACCAGACTAGCTATGTAACTATCTGTCTGCCCTTACTTGTTCACCAGCGCCTAGGCAGTTTATTAAGAACTAGAACCTAGCTGCCGTGGTGAGAGACAATACTTGTAGGTCATTCATTCACAGATCTCTGTGAATGAATAATGCGCCTGTGTGGGCGGAACCCTGCACTCCCACACTGTTTTTCAAATTGTGATTGCTGAAGTGGGGAGAGGATCCCCCCCACCCGCTGTCACAATGAGGAATGATGGAGATGCATACAGGTGAATTATTTTAACATGTTACACCCTAAATATGGGGTGTAATATGTAACATGTTACAAAGGTATACTTATCCTTTAATCTGTGGTTTAGCAGTTGGAGTGCAGTAAAACTACACAACTCAACCCCCCTCTTTTAACTGCCTTTTGGCTATCCATGTAAACAAGGCCTTACACAGGATTTTCATTTTTACTGGTTCTAAACTTGGCATAAACATAATAATATTTTTAAATACAAGTATGTGAAATTGCTGTATTAATAAAAAGGTATGGCTGACCTCTACAGGAAAAAGCCACCTTCTTTTCTCTGCTCCCTCTAGTCTATTGTACCTAACAATAAATCATGCTCTGCTCCTTATTTAGCTCAAGAATAGTTTGTCATCCTCATTTTATCTTTCTCAATGAAAACCTGAGTTGACTGATTGTCACGATAATCTCTTTGGTTTCAGTCAACTTCAAGTCAACACCCCAGAAAAAATATAAAGATCAGTTCTGACTTTTCTGATCTACATCACAATGAGTTAATATTGCAACAAACAACTAGCATTTTCATAAAGACAGGCAGCAGTGGCAGCTCCCACATATCTGCTATGACAAGCTTTATTGATAGCACAGTAAGGGAGGGTAGATCACAAGACTAAGTGCATTTATTTGAAATAATGTTTCAAGTTAAATTATATTCTGTATGTGGTTAATATGTGTATTTAGCTGTATGTCAGGCATTGCCCTTTAACAAGTTGCCTTTTCATACACATTCATCTAGCACAGAAAACCACCCAAGATAACAGCAAATACAGGGTTGCTAAAATCATCTGCTGAATGTTTACCAAGGTACCGTAATGTTGACAACAAACCACATTCATAGTATAAATCACTGTCCAGGTCCACAAGAACAGAGCTCATATTTCCATACACCCTGATAAATGGAGTGATGCGTAGACTCCAAATCGTATTGGCTCTTGTACCCAATTAATGTTTGGAATAGAACCTTACTTTGGTACTTTGGATTCTAATATTCCAGTGTTCAATTCATATATTGTTTTCACATCCCAAGGTTCTTGTGGTAGTTTCTCAGTGCACAGGAGCAGATTAAATAATACCCAGAAAAAATTGTATGTAGTGTGGTGCTGGGCATGAATATCAAAAGCCAATGATGTAATATAATATACAGTGCTCGGCATAAATGAGTTCACGCCCAACAGATTTGTCAGAAAACCTTAACATTACTTTCAGAATCAATATTTTCTATGGATACTATACTACAAAATACTCCTATAAATGTGGGCCATTGATTGCAAACAAGATTTGTTAATTTTCACACACACAAAAAAAGTATTTTTACTAACAAATTAATTCAAGAGCATGTTACAAAAATTAAATACACCCCAATGAAAGTCTTTAGGGCTGGCCATACATTATACAATTATCTGGAGATTTTTGGTTTAGATTTACCAAAAACCATAATAATAGGGAGGACAAACCTAAACAACACTTCAGTTGTATCCAATTAGGCAGGCCCTTGCACTACACAGTTTGAAGTTAAATCTAAAGGAAATTGGACAGAAAATTTTGGAAGATAATTGTATAATATATGGCCAGCCTTAGGACTAGAGATGAGCGAAGAAATGAAAAATTCGATTCGGCTGATTCGGCGAATTCCAGTGTGAAATTCGATTCGATGCGAATTTCTCCGCTACGAAGATGACTTATTTAAAGGGTTTCTAGGCTTCTCAGAGAGCCTTTAAATTAGTGCAGAACACTGTACCTTTAATTTAAATGCCCTTGGAGATGAGGAAGGAGAAGGAGAAGGATGAGAAGAAGGAGAAGGAGAAGGATGAAAGAAGGAGAAGGAGAAGGGTGAGAAGAAGGAGAAGGATGAGAAGAAGGAGAAGGATGAGAAGAAGGAGAAGGAGAAGGATGAGAAGAAGGAGAAGGAGAAGGATGAGAAGAAGGAGAAAGGAGAAGGATGAGAAGAAGGAGAAGGATGAGAAGAAGGAGAAGGATGAAAGAAAGGAGAATGATGAGAAGAAGGAGAAGGATGATAAGAAGAAGGCTGAGAATAAGGAGAAGGATGAGAAGAAGGAGAAGGAGAAAGGATGAGAAGAAGGAGAAGGATGAGAAGAAGGAGAAGGAGAAGGATGAGAAGAAAGAGAAGGATGAGAAGGAGAAGGATGAGAAGAAGAAGGATGAGAAGAAGAAGGATGAGAAGAAGGAAAAGGATGAGAAGAAGAAGGATGAGAAGAAGGAGAAGGATGAGAAGAAGGAGAATGATGAGAAGAAGGAGAAGGATGATAAGAAGGACAAGGATAGAGAAGAAGGAAGGAGAAGGATGAGAAGAAGGAGAAGGATGAGAAGAAGGAGAAGGATGAGAAGAAGGAGAAGGATGAGAAGAAGGAGAAGGATGAGAAGAAGGAGAAGGAGAAGGATGAGAAGAAGGAGAAGGATGAGAAGAAGAAGGATGAGAAGAAGATGAGAAGAAGGAGGAGAAGGATGAGAAGAAGAAGGATGAAAAGAAGGAAGAAGGATGAGAAGAAGGAGAAGGAAGAGAAAGAAGGAGAAGGAGAAAGGATGAGAAGGAGAAAGGATGATAAGAAGGAGAAGGAGAGAAGAAGGAGAAGGAGAAAGGATGAGAAGAAGGAGAAGGATGAAAGAAAGAAGGAATGAGAGAAGAAGGATGAGAAAGGATGAGAAGAAGGAGAAGGATGAGAAGAAGGAGAATGATGAAGAAGGAGAAGAAGGAGAAGGATGAGAAGAAGGAGAAGGATTGAAGAAGGAGAAGATGAGAAGAAGGAGAAGGATGGAGATAAGAAGGAGAAGGAGAAGGATGAGAAGAAAAAGGATGATGAGATGGAGAAGGAGAAGGATGAGAAAGAAGGAGAATGAGAAGGATGAGAAGAAGGAGAAGGATGAGAAGAAGGAGAATCCCCATGAGAAGAAGGAGAAGGAGAAGGATGAGGAAGAATGAGAAGGAGAAGGATGAGAAGAAGGAGAAGGAGAAGGATGAGAAGAAAGGAGAAGGATGATGA